TGCTTGGGTCAATTCCAAGACTCAGTTTCCCCTATTAAGAAAATAAAGATGATAGTTCAAAATTTTCTATCCCTTCTAGTTCCAATAGTCTAAGATTATCAAGTTGCCCAAACAAGCAAAATAACCCAAGCAGGGGGTTTCTTTTTTAAAGACAGATGATACTCCACAGAGTTCAGTGACCCCTAGTACTCAGGGGATTGGTTCCAGGACCTTCCGGGTATGAATCATCATGAAATGGCAGTGTCTGCAGACCCTCCGCACCCCTTCCCATGTACTTTAACTGCATGTGCAGATGGCTTAAAGTATCTGCACAATTGAAATGCTATATAAATAGGTGCTGCACTATCCTGTTGAAGGGAGGGGGGTGCACATGTTCAGGACAGATGAAGATACTTTCCAAATATTTTCTATGTCCAGTTGAATGTAGAAACCCACAGGCATGTGAGCAAATAGAATTATTTATTCTAAGACCAGAGAGAGGGAAAAGATAAGGACAAATGGCAAAGAGATGGGCTTCCTTTTCCCTGGCTAGGCTGTACTGCAGCTTCTTTAGAGAAAGCATCTATTTGGTTCTGTGACGGGACAACCTAGCCTTGAATGTCAGTTTGGGTGGTTACTAGCTTTATCACCCTACACAAGGCACTGGCTTTCTAGGTTCCTAAAACTATCACAAGGGCAAGGCCCCTTCACAAGGCTGACTGGGTTCTAAGTATGTGGACCCGTGTGAAGTGCCCAGGGGCAGTGGATACAGGCTGGCACTGAGCACTGTACTCACTGACAGCGCACACAGGCTCCACTCTGAGCACAGGCCTGTCTTGCTGTCTCTGCCTACAGTGGAGAGTACAGTACTTCACATAAAACAATGAATTTGATCTGACTCTAAGGAAACAAAGCCTGCTCCGAGCCATGAAACTAGATCTACCCAGAGACGTACAAAGAGCAAACCTTCCCTGACAAAAACAAATGTCCCCACTTTCTTAAAAGAAGCTCTTTAAAAATCCACCAAAATGGAAAGCATCTGCCTCCATGCTTTCCCAAAGTTCTCCCCTCCATCTTCTTTTGTAATATTTAAAATTTACCGCAGTGTATAACTAAAAGGAAAAATGACCAAAACTTAATTATTAAACACGATTGTCTGTCGCTGAGCCAGAAGTTCAGAGACACCACGTGTTGCCAGCACACATCTGGGTATCTGACCTTAGTAAACAAGCCACTCCACTTTGCTGTAAAATGACAGGGACCACACCTGCTCTGATAACACCAGCAGACCACCTTGTGTTCCGTCTTCATAACAGTGCTCTTACCATGAAAAGGGAGACTAACCACACAAGGCTGTGGCCGGTTTCCTTAAAGGCATGCTACCAAACTAACAAGAATGGATCTGGGTCTGTGAGCAGAACTGTTAATGAGCGACTTGGTGGGGGGGTGGGGGGGGTTCTGAAACGCCACCAGCTGTGAGCCCTTGTTCTCACAGGGTGTTTTCTTCTTTCTTACATTGTTTTCTAACACACTGGAAAAAATGTCAGACTTCAGTGCACCCGGAAGATTGTGGGAAGCAGAGGCAAGGAAGTGGTAACCGAAGATCCAGAGGGCTGGGACCCGAAGTGGTGAGCCCGGCAGCTGCCTCTGACCAAACACTTGTCACACCCAACACCAAATCAAAGAAGCACGCTCTTTCTTTTTGTAAATTCATGTGTCTAACTTGTGCGTGTGCATGTGTATGCCACACTCACATAAGCATATGGGTAGAGAGGCCAGAGATCAACTGTCAATGTGTTCTGTCACTTCACCTTACTGAGACAGGGTCTCACACTGAACGTGAAGCTTTCTGTCTTCACCAGACCCGCTGGCCAGAGAGCCCCCAGCATCAGCCTACCTCATCCCCCAAGTGCTGGGGTAACAGGCACCCAGTTCCACACCCAGCTCTTAAGTGAGTGCTGGGAATCCAAACTCAGGTGCTCATGTTTGAGCACCAAGCTTTACCACTGCACCATCTGTAGCTGCATGAGCAACTTCTTTCTTTATTGGTCTTTTTGAGACAAGGTCTTCCGGTAGCCCCAGCTGTCCTGGAATTCACTATGTAGATCAGGCTGGCCTTGAACTCACAGAGATCTGCCTGCCTCTGCCTCCCAAGTGCCGGGATTAAAGGTGTGCACCACCACACCCAGCTGCAACTTCTTTCTTAAAAGGCACCACTCAGCAGAGTCACAATCAACAGACATTCAAACATTACAGCCAAAGTGTGCTAAGCCCATAAGCTCCAAAGCTGTGGATGACGGCAGGGAAGGACCCAAAAGAACAAAGGAGGTAGTAACAACTTCCCACTTACTCCTGATTTAGCTTGAGACAGCAGAGGTCAGTGGAGGACAGGAAGAAACCTGAATTCCAGGCTCACAGGCATGGTTTCCAACAAGCAGATACCCAGCAACCAAAATTAATTGCTATCAGCTCAGCTTCCTCATCAATAAAATGTGAACTGTAAGTACCTGCATCCCAAACTGTAAGAATTCAATGGTGTGACACATGATGGTGCTTCCAACAGTGCCTGGCACATGTCTGCTATAACATGGTCACGTCACGGTTTTGAACACAGGATTCCATCTGATCATAAGCAGCAGGTTTTGTTATTCTCCCAGGACACTGGCCCAAGGAGCAGAAAGGACTTGTCTTTCCTGAGTCAGTGGCGGTGCTGTGTACTCTAGAACTACCTTTCAATGGCCCTGGCTGCAACAGGAGTTGAGCATGCTCTCCTTCTGTCAGCTGAGCCCTGCTAAGGAGGCTCCAAGGCCTCCTTCAGTACTGGAGACTGGAAGCCAGGTTTGATATACAAGTCTGATCAAATCCTTCAGGCCAGTTGTCAGAGCTGATCCTAGGAGCCCAGATATGGTTTCTGACCTTCTTATTTCCTACATAAAAAACAACTCCCTCAGCTGATGACCCAGGATTCTCCCACTGCCAATTAGTCAGCACTGTGCTAAATCCTTTCCGAACATCTCCTATAATCCTCCCAAGTATGAGACAGAGGGTGGAGTTATCCTTACCCCTGTTTAATAGGCGAAGGAACAGACTCAAAGAGGCTCAAGGACACAAAGCCAGTAATGAACAGAACCTGAGTTCAAATCAAAGTCCACAGTGAACATACCACACATACACCCACACCCCACCCCACGAACACCCCCCCGCCCCCGCCGCTTCATTCCTGTATATCCATAGCACACAGGCCTGAAACACGGGCCCATTTTGCCTTTCACAAGAGACAGTGCAAACCCTGGGGGAATCTTCATGTTTTTGCAAACAAGGCTACCAGAATCTTTTCTATCTCTTCCTGATTCAGAACAAACCTTCAGAGCACTCCTCTCTTACCCTAAGTGGAAGCTCCCGGCCATACTGCTGTTAGGGAAACATCACCACCACGAGGTGGTGCTGAGACAGGTGATGGGTGGGGGCCCCTTTCCCCAGTCACAGTAGTCAGGGCCCACCAGAGGTTTTAGCAGCTGCCTGACTCAAATCATCCTGCTTCACCCAGAGTGTACACAAGAAGGAAGATACATGCAGGGGCTTCTGAACAGTCCCACTCAGTCCTCTGACCCTACAACCCATCCCATAAGCCCATAGCCTCCCTGATAACCGCCTCAATTTCCACACAAGTCCCAATGCCTGGTTCCCTCCTGTTCAACTCACAGTGCCTAGGGGACGCTATTAGACACTGGCTCTTTACAGAATCGCCTTGGATAGCTTCCCCAGGCCATGGGGGGAGCATTATCAGTGAGTACTGGGCCACAGCCAGCAAGCCAAAAGGTGACAGACATTAGGTGGCAACAGTGGAAAGTTGGTTCCCAATCCAAACCCTCCACACAGTACCAGTAGTTTAGGTCTCCACTGGAGAAAGCAGGGCTCCAAGAGCCAGGGTCCTGTGTGGTAGGAGCCGTAGACCATAGACCCAGGTGAAGGGACCTGTGGCACAGTTTCCCCAATTACCCAAGATATTAATTAGAGAGCGAAGTTTCCCTATAGACAAGTCCTCCATTTCCTGCCTGGAAGGTTGAGCTGAGATGAGGGCTGTGTATCTCTGGACAGTCATTGGTGTGGCCTAGGCCACAGAAATCAGAGAGGGGAGGAAGAGGTACCCAACAAACTAAGTTCCTCAGGATGCACAGCCACAGGCCGAATTAAAACCTGCCTCCCAGGCCTGGTGAGATGCCAAGCCTGACAAACTGAGTTCGATTTCTGCGACCAACTCTTGTAAATTGTCCTATGACTTCCACATGCATTGTCATGTGCGCATGCCCCCCCACACACACACATACAAGCACCTGCCTCCTTGCACCCCGCTCCCATAAGCCCACCCTCCCCATTCCCACACTTCTGTATTAGCACCCCAACTCCTACCTCTGCAATCCGGAATGTCAACTTCCAACACAGCCTTTCTCATCACACTTACTATTCAATTCCCTGAGCCCTTCATTTACCAGACTGGGCACTCTATCCTGACCCCATAAAGAAGTCTGTCAAAATTTCCCAGGTCTCAGGACAACACTGCCAGGAAGGCCAAGCGTGGCAACTCTCCACATGTCTAAGTTCATCCAGCCATTCATCCCCAGAGCCCAGTGTCATCCACACCCTCCTTTGACAGCCTGGGCTCCTCCATTTCCCTTCCTGGGGGCCCCAGGCAGAAACATGCCAGCCACACAGCACACCTTGTTCCTGATGGTGGAATCCACCTTCCCCCTTCCAACACAGGGAAGGAAACCGAAAGAGACTGGGGAATGCGCACTCCACCCTCACAGTTTCTCACTTGGGCTTCCTCTTCCTCTCTGCTGAGGGAACAGGTCAGGTTGGGTACTTTGCCTGGGCCAGTGCTCCTACAGACAGGGAGCCTCACTGCAACAGCAGAGGCACTAGCAGAGTTTTCAGGTGTCTTCAGGCACTGCCGGCTGGACCCAAGGCATTTGCTGAAGCTCAAACTGCCATGCAGGCTGAAAGGGCTCAGTCTGACATACCTGGTCCTGAAGCTGGGTGTTGGACAGAAGTTGGTTCCCGAATACAAAGAGAAAAGGTCCATACTGTTCCAAAGAAGATTAAAGCGTAAGGATGTTCTCTTGCTGTCCTCCCCATGGAGTCTGGCTGTCCCACAGACAGGGAAAGGGAGTCCCTCCCCAGAGTACCGGTTCCCTGAAGAATCCCTGCATCCTCCTCAGGAAATACACTGCAGTGTCTTGGACTGAAACCTCAAGCCAAAAGAAAGAAAGCAGAGGGGACCTGCAAGCCACCAATCTCATTTCCAGAGTCGCTGTCGTCAGCCGAGACACATTAATAATTAACCTGCCTACCCAGGAGCTGCTGTTGCCATGAAACACATGAGTGACAGCACGGGAGCCTCAGCCTCAGGCCCCCAGGCTTCATGGCTCCGGTGCAAAGGACACCTGGAACAATGCCCTGCCTTCCTTCAGGAAGATGTGTCTGACACCAGAGCTGTCACCAGCAGGAGGCTGACCCCTGACCTCTCCATAGCAGGCTCTCAGCAAGTGAGCGCTTGGAGAGACTCCAGCCGGGAGGTGGAACCGGGCGCACCAGCCGCTTCGGCGCAGAAAGCGTGGCCGGGTGGCCACTGCCCACCTCCCACCTCCTCCGCTGACCCGCTGCCCACGCGCCCCTGGGCTGCACACCGGGCGATTTCGGGAAGAATCCCGTTACCATGAATATAGGCTGGACTTGGAGACCCTGCAGGGCAGCTCCCCTGCACACCCTTCCCAGAGAGAGAAGCCAGGCTCCATGAATTATCTCGCGGAAACTCCCAGGGCGAGCTGCGGATCCCTAGCCGAGAGCCAGAGCTAAGCGGGGGTCACCGCGCCCAGACACAAAGCGCAGACCACAGCCCGTGTCCTGCGGGACAAAGTTCCGCGCTTGCACACACCTGCAGGCTGCCGGGGGCGGCTCTCGCCAGCACTCCAGGGCGGCTGGGCGCACATCCCGGGGCGGCCGGCGCCAGGGCTCCATGCGCCGGCTCCACCGGCCCCAGAGGGCCACCGGTCAGTAGCGCTGGGCCACACAGCGTGCCCGGGCCTCCACGCGCCCGCGGCGCATTGCGCGCCCTCGTCCTCGCCCGGGGCCTTCCCGAAGAGCCCACACCCACTTGACATCAGCACCGACCCAAGCTCGGGGCACAGCGCCAGACACCCGCCCCCGGCAATCCAGAGGGCGCCCCAGGTGCCGCGCGGCCAGGACGGCGCGTCCCAGCCCCGCACATTCCTTTCCTAGCGGAGGATGCTGCAAGCGGGAAGGAGGCTGTGAGATGGAGGAGGGGAGGGAAGCCGGCGGTGAGGGCAGGACCCGGGGCCTTGCCGCTGCTCCACTCTGGCGCCCAGCCAACCCCCCATAGCCCTGCCAGCCTTTGCAGAAAGTACCCGTCAACTGTGAGGACCAGGCTGGAGGTGACCGGGTGTGCTGTCCACGCCCTGCCAAAAGCCTTGACCTTGAATTCGCTTCCACACAGTTTAGAAGGTTAGGCCTCTCAAACAATCCCTAAGAAATTGCCAAGGCTGATTCTGATACATCAGGAAGGAATCCTTGGTTAGATGTGGTTGCAGACAACCCCCCTCCCCTCCCCGCTCCTGAGGGGACTCCTAGGCCCCAGGGAAATAGACCATACCCTCGGGTCTGTCCGCACAACTGGCAGCCCCAGCTGTTTTTCTTCTCTAATGCCCTTGGTAATAAGGGACCTCTCTCCTGCTCCGGCAGGCAGTCGAAAAGGGCACCACCCAGCAACCCACACACACTTCTAATTCATTCATTAGCAGCCATCTAAATATTCAAATAAATAAGACTCAGAATGTGCCTACACTCGCAGCCCCCAGAGTCTAGTCAGGATGAAAGAGATTAAACAAACTCATTACAAGGGTTACAGCGTACAGTGAGAAAGAGGGCAAGGGACCCTTAACCTGTCTTGGCAATCAGGAAGGGCTTCCCTGAGGAAGTGACCCTGAGCTGCAGAGGCCTGAAGATGTACACTGGTCACTAAAGTACACTTGAGCCCCCATCCACAGATGGACATGACTGACACCTAGGCTTGTGTCCAGGAGGACTGTGGAAGGCAGTCTATCTGTCCAGAGACCCTTTTGTGTTTTCTCATCTGCCCAGCCCCATGGTGGTCTCGCCTCAATGAACAAGCACTAAGCAGAGTTGAGAACCCTCACTTAAGGGTCCGACTCCATCATCATCATGCTGTGTGGCCCTGCAGAAATACCTGCACTCTTCTGGTCTCAGGGTTCTCTCTCCAGTGCGGGCTGGACTAGGACAATGCTTCTCCATGTATTCACTAAACTCACTCCCTTTTGGATAAATATACAAACATCATTCTCTTTCTGTGGCCTCTAAGACAAGATACCAAAACAGTTTCCAAGTCAAAATTCATATGGAGGGATTGGGGAGATGGTGCAGTGGGTAAAGTACTTGCCATGCAAGCTTGAACGAAGTTTGGATGCCCAGCACCCAGGTAAGCACTGGGTAGGTGTGGTAGCCTGGCTGTAGTCCCAGAGTTTGGGAGGTGGAGACAGGCAAGCTGGTGGCTAGACTAGCCGAATCAGCAGCTCCAGGGTGGGTGAGCAACCCTACCTGCTCAGTATACAAGGTGGAGAGCAATCAGGGAAGAGGCTTCACATCAACCTCTGGCCTACACATGCACGTGTGCACACATCTACACACATGCAAACATGAATATACGCACACACAAAAATAAAAATTACAAAATTATACAGAATATGCTTGTTAAAACTGCATATGCTCTTGGGGGCTGGAGAGGTGGAGGGCCTGGGCTTGGATCCCAGCTCTCACATGGTAGCTAATAACAGTCTGTAACTCAAGTTCCCTCTTTTGATTTTCTCACACATTGCACAACATGGGTGCTTTAAAATAATAAGAACGAGTCATGGTGGTATACACCTTTAATCCCAGCACTTGGGAGGCAGAGGCAGGTGTATCTCTGTGAGTTTGAGGCTAGCCTGATCTATGTAGTGAGTTCCAGGCCAGGTGGGGTTACAGAGAGACCCTGTCACAAAAAGACCAAAATAAATAAATAATAAATAAATTAAAAAAATTTTTAACTGCATATACAGGGGCTGGAGAGATGGCTCACTGGTTAAAAGCACTAGTTGCTCTTCCAGAGGACCTGGGTTCAATTCTCAGGACCCACAACTGTCCATGGCTCCAGTTCCAGGGGATCTGATGCCCTCTTCTGACCTCTACGGGCTTTGCACGACAGGGATGCACTTACATACATGCAGGCAAAATACTCATATACATAAAAAATTTTTTTAATTAAAAAAAACACTGCATATGCCCTTTAAGTATTAAGTAATATACTGTTGAGCTGGACATGGTGGCACACCTCTTTAATCCCAGCACTCAGGAGGCAGAGGCAGGAGGATCTCTGTGAGTTTGAGGCCAGCCTGGTCTCTATAGCGAATACAGGTCAGCTGTGGCTAAGGGAGACCCTGTCTCAAAAAGACAACAACAAAAAGGTAATATACTGTCTTTAGTCATCTACCACAGATAGCTTGGGAAAATGTGGCCTCCAAGCTAACCCACACTCCCACACTCCCACGTGACCAGCCATCACTTACCACATCTCCAGCCTCACTTTCTTTAGTTTTTATTTTCCAGGATAAACTGACATGATGGTGAAAAGAAACCATGGGTCATCCAGAAATAAAGAACAGACAGGCATGCTACAAAAACTCTCTTGAATGATAATTTCCAACAATACTGGGAAATGGACACACTGAAGGAAGTGTACAATGTTCCTGGGGACAATCTGGCAAAATGAAAAGAAAAGCCTTAAAACATTCACCTCCTGGGAGCTGTCAGTTCTACAGTTACATATTTATCCACAAGATGCACTGTGGATGGCCACAAAGAGTCATCCTGGGCTTGGTCATTACACCATTTTCGTAACAGCAAATAATTATAATGACATAAACATGAAAGCAGATTTACTAACAAACTGTGGTACGTCTTTACATTGAAATACACGCAACTTTAAAAACTGTATATATAGGGTGGAGTATAGTGGTGCACGCCTTTAATCGAAGCACGCAGGAGGCAGAGGCAAGCAGATCTCTGAGTTCGAGGGCAGCCTGCTCTACATAGCTAATTCCAAACCAGCCAGGACTACCAAAACTGTCTTAAATATATACATATATATACATATACATATATGTATATATGCAGTATTTACTGCAGAATAAACAAGAGATTATAACACAAATGATCCCAGTTGTGTGTGTGCATTACATGTGTGTATGTTGGCTAGGTGGGAGGAAAGCACTTCCCATAGAGTTCCACTGTGTTCGAGTTTCATTACTGGCTGACTTCTACCTAATGCCCTGAAGTAAAATGTGTTGCTACTACGGCACACATCCTTACAAGTGAATCTATCAACCCATACTAAAGCTATAAAAGCCTAATATTAAAACAGAATGGACAAGCCTCCCAGACAAGCAGAAATACAGCTCAATTCTTCACCAGCATGCACTCGCCACTGGGGACTTGATAATCTTAAAGGGGAACATTTTGCTCACAGCCTTTTTTTAGAGCTCTCTCAGTTGCTCTTTCCTTGAGTCTACTGATTCGATGGTTTTTAAGTTTGTGTGCATAAATTAGTGCTCATGCTGGTATAGGGTATGTTTGACTTGATGAGATTTTTTTTTCAAACCTACACTCTAACTCTAGAACCTAATCAGAATATGAAAGTTCAGTATATGAAACAGACAACAGGAGCTGTCTGCCAATATGTTAACAGTGTCAGAACCATGGTGGGTTTTTCATTTCCTTCCTTGATATTGTCTAGCTTGGCTGACTTGTCTGACAATAAACATATTACTTTGATGATCAGAACATAAAGTGCCACTTAAAAATAATTTGATTTAAGAAACCTTTTTTTTAATTTTTAAAAACTATTTTATTATTTTTGTTTTATGTGTATGTACATATTGCCTGCATGTAGGAAAGTGCATCCATGTTGTGCAATGCCTGTGAAGGACAGAAGAGGCTGTCAGATCCCCTGGAACTGGAGTTACTGACAGTTGTTAGCTGCCATGTGGGTGCTGGGATTCGAACCCAGGTCTTCTGCAAGAACAGCCAGTGTTCTTAACCACTGAGCCATCTCTCCAGCCCCTTAAACCTTTTTTTTTAAAAAAAGAAAA